GACTGGGGCAGGAAGTAAGCAATTATTAACCGGACAATGACATGCAGCCCAGCGTAATGTACCCAGGAAAATTTGTACTGCAGCAGCAGACAGAACCTGAAATTAGAGAGGGACTTTGGATTTTACACTCTGCAAGATGGACCTCTTTGTAGCATCCCTGCTTAGGGTATCAAGCCTCTTCTTCCTCTTCTTTAGTTTTCTTTTATCAAGAGATTCACTCTGAAGCTGATATTTAACTCTCCTGTTCATGCCTGTATATACCAGCCTTTGTAGATGGGATTTTGATATGCATTATTTCTGCCCAAGAAATTTTCACACAGCATCTAGTTGTCTCAGTGGTTTCTGATAAATCTCCAAAACAAAGCCAGCAGGTTTTGGGAAGCATCAGTGACCTAAATTTCAGCTTTCCATTAAAATAACAATAACTCTCAGACATGGATACTCCTTTGCTACATACCCGGAAATAGTGCTGAGTCACTTGCTGGTATCCTAAACTCTTCTCGGAGTGAGTGAGTAGCTCAGTTGGTAGCTTTATTCATTGCAAGTGCAAAGATGTTAGGCTCCTCAGTTTTCCTTCCTTCCTTCCTTCCTTCCTTCCTTCCTTCCTTCCTTCCTTCCTTCCTTCCTTCCTTCCTTCCTTCCTATTTTCTTTCTGAGTTGACACTGGCTATGTTTAAGCAGCCCAGTGTTAACTGGAGTCATGCAAGAACAACAAATCAACCTAAATTGATACCAACACTGCACTGGCCATCAAACCAAGCCACTAGCCAGCCTCCTCTTCAGACTTCCATGTAAGTTGTTATTATCTGATTTAACCTCCTAAGGCTCTGGCTAGATCTGGAGCCCCATGTCCAAACTACTGTATCTAACAGAGTGCAATGACAGTAACAGAAATGGTTGTACTTCTCTGTCCAGAGAGACCCTGAAAGGAGATTCAGCTGTAGATACCACAGAAACGTCAGACCTTTGACACAGTACTCACTACTGCCAGCTGTGACATCAGCAGGATGGGAATGAAATGCTCATACAACACTGAGCATTTTGGTGACAAGACGATTCCTTTAACCCAGTAAACAAGCAAAGCAAGAGCTCTGTGCATCTGTTAGCTGTTTTCCCTTTATGGCAAAAATTATCTTTTTTAAAATTTTAATTATTATTAATTATACTTTATTTACTTCGTATCCCCCCTGCAGCTCCCTCCCTCCTCCCCTCCCTACCCTATCCTCCCTTCCCTTTCTCCACACATGCCCCTCCCCAAGTCCACTGATAAGGGAATCCTCCTCTCCCTCCCTCTGATCCCAGTCTATCAGGTCTCATCAGGAGTGGCTGTACTGTCTTCCTCGGTGGCCTGGTAAGGCTGCTCCCCCGTCAGGGGGAGGTGACCAAAGAGCAGGCCAATCAGTTCATGTCAAAGACAGTCCCCATTCCCATTACTATGGAACCCACTTGGACACTGAACTGCCATGGGCTATATCTGTGCAGGGGTTCCAGGTCATCTCCATGAATGGTCTTTAGTTGGAGTATCAGTCTTAGCAAAGGCCCCTGTGCCCAGATTTTTTGGTTCTGCCGCTCTCCCTGTGGAGGTCCCATCTTTTCCAGGTCCTATTATTTCCCACTTTTTTTGTAAGATTCCCTGCACTCTGCCCAAAGGCTGGCCATAAGTCTCAGCATCTGCTTTGATACCCTGTAGGGAAGAGCCTTTCAGAGGCCCTCTGTGGCAGGCTCCTGTCCTGTTCTCTGTTTTTTCCTTCTTCTGATGTCCATCCTCTTTGCCTTTCAGGATGGGGATTGAGCATTTTAGCCAGAGTCCTCCTTGATTAGTTTCTTTAGGTGTATAGGTTTATCCTATATTATATGTCTAATATCCACTTATGAGTGAGTATATACCCCGTGTGTCTTTCTGCTTCTGGGACACCTATTTCAGGATGATCTTTTCTAGTTCCCACCATTTACCTGCAAATTTCATGATTTCCTTGTTTTTTATTTTCTTAATTCAGCAGAAAACTTTTCCCAACAGGTCTTTTAAGTGGTGGCTTCATTAAAGAACTCCTTAATTAGTCTATACATGTGCAGGGCTGAGTTTGAACAAGAGATAATACCTTAGTGCTTAATAAGTGATCTTTGAAACAGCAAAACAAACATCAGCCTCAGAAGAGACAAGTGTTCTCTAAGTTACACTTGCTAAGGATATATCTTGCTAAGGATTCATGTCTTAGTTGTGTGATCACAGTTTATTTTACTTTCCCATTAAATATTTGTTTTTGACTAATGAACTCAGGAAGACACTTTTTAAAGTATTGAAAAGTATTTTAAAAAACAAAGGAAAGGAACACATTCATTATTTTACAAACAGTGACTTTGAAGAATTTGATCAACTCTCTGTTTTGTCATCTAGAATGAGTGTATTGAGAGAAGAATAATTGGTGGGACTTTCTATTGTTTCTTTTGCGACAGAAGGGCAGGCTCTGGGACATGGAGGAAGACCCACACAATCTTTTGATGATGTGGGAAGTCTGTGTTTAGGGATGAGGGATATGCCCATATTAGTCCTGTTGATAGACATACTCTCATTCCCAAAATGTGAAAGTTTGTGCTGGGTAGAAAATTACACATCACAAACTATATAAGGTACATGGAGGTACAGAAAGGACTATTAGCAGTTTAGAATCAGGGCTAGACTATCTGGGATCAAATCTCAGCTTTCTAACTTAAAAGGTATAGGATCTTGGGTGAGTTATCTTATCTCTATAGTATCCTACTTCCCTTGCCTGTTTTAAAAAAATAATAATAGAGGTAGTAGTCTATAGGACAGAGGCTGTTGTCAGGGTAAATATTAGACATATAATATAGGATAATCATACTAAATTTTGTAAACCTAAAGAAGCTAAGCAAGAAGGAGGGCCTGGATAAGATGCTCAATCTTCATTCAGAAAAGCAAAAGGGATAGACATCGGAAGAAGGTGAAAACAGAGAACATGACAGGAGCCTACCACAGAGGGCCTCTGAAAGACTCTACCCAGCAGAGTATTAAAGCAGATGTTGAGACTCATAGCCAAACTTTGGGCAGAGTGCAGGGAATCTTATGAAAAAAGGGGGAGATAGAAAGACCTAGAGGGGTCTGGAGCTTCACAAGGAGAACAACAGAACAAAAAAATTTGGGCCCAGGGGTCTTTTCTGAGACTGATACTCCAACCAAAGACCATTCATGGAGATAACCTAGAACCCCTGCACAGATATAGCAGCTCTGTCTCCAAATGGGACTTCCTAGTAAGGGGAACAGGGGCTATCTCTGACATGAACTCAGTGGCTGGCTCTTTGATCACCTATCCCTGTGGGGGGGGGGCAATCTTACCAGGCCACAGAGGAAGACTATGAAAGACAGTCCTAATGAGACCTGATAGGCTAGGGTCAGATGGAAGGGGAGGAGGACCTCCCCTATCAGTGGACTGGGGGAGGCACATGGGAGGAGATGAGGGATGGAGGGTGGTATTGGGAGGGGACGAGGATGGAGGCTACTGCTGGGATACAAAATGAATAAATTGTAATAAATAAAAATGATTAATTAAAAACATTGTTAAATAATGCATAAAATGAATTTAGGACAATGCTTGCCAAAAAGTCATGTAAGTTTTTGATTTCCAAAAGCCTTCTCTTTTTAAAAAGTATCCTATTAAGCCAAGTTCACTCACATTTCTTTTTTTTTTCTCTTTCTTTCTTTTTTGTGTGTGGTGCTGGGGATTGAACCTGGGATCTCATCCATGTAGCTGAGCTATGTGCTAGTTTCTATTCCTGCACTTTAAAATGGTATTATCAGTAGTTTTGAAGATTGACTGAGATGCTAGATATACGAAAATACTTTGTGAGGGTTTATGAGGGTTCAGTACTAATGGTTTCTTCTGCTATTTTTACTAGAAATGTTGCTGAGGACAGGGTCAGGGGAAGGAGAGAGAGAAGGAAGAATGCTTTTTTTTTTTTCTAGAAAAACATGCAGAAGACTGAGCTGCCATGGGCTACATCTGTACAGGGGTTCTAGGTTATCTCCATGAATGGTCCTTGGTTGGAGTGTCAGTTTCAGAAAAGACCCCTAGGCCCAGAATTGTTTTGGTTCTGTTGCTCTCCTTCTGGAGCTCCTGTCCCCTCCAGGTCTTTCTATCTCCCCTTTTTTTCATAAGATTCCCTGCACTCTGCCCAAAGTTTGGCTATGAATCTCAACATCTGCTTTAATACCTTGCTGGGTAGAGTCTTTCAGAGGCCCTCTGTGGTATGCTCCTGTCCTGTTCCCTATTTTCACCTTCTTCCGAGGTCTACCCCTTTTGCCTTTCTGAATGAGGATTAAGCATCTTACCCAAGTAGGTTCCCTAGTAAGGGGAACAGGGGCTGTCTCTGATATGAACTTAATGGCTGGCTCTTTGATCACCTTCCCCTGAGGGGAGAGCAGCCTTACCAGGCCACAGAGGAAGACAATGCAGACAGTCCTGATGAGACCTGATAGGCTAGGATCAAATGGAAGGAGAGGAGGACCTCCCCTATCAGTGGACTAGGGAAGGGTCATGGAAGGAGAAGAGGGAGGGAGGGCTGAAGGAGGGAGCTACAGCTGGGATAGAAAGTGAATACATTGTAATAAATAAAAAATAAATAAAAAATAAAAAGTTAATAAAAAAGAATATGAATATAAAAATTATTAAATCAGTGTACACCAAAAAAAAAAAAAAAAAAAAGGAAAGGAAAGAAAAGAAAAACAGGCAGGAATTTGGAGCAAGAAGCAGCCTGACATCTCTAATTGGTGTTAGTTGGTCCACATGGACTACAGATTTGGGTTGATTGCTTCCATGATAACCTCAGTGATGGGGGTTTCCTGTTAGGGCTTTGGGAAAGGGGAAGGAAGAGAGAGAATTGAGTGTTTCTGTAGGCTCCCTCCAGGCCAAGGCTCAGCAGAGGTGCTGAGGAGACTGATGTCATGTAGGGAGAGGAAGGCATCAAAGTGACTCCAAGTCCCTCACCTGTGGTGAAGACAGTGGAGGTGAGGCTGCTCCGTGTGGCATCCTGAGCTGCCTGCAGGAGCACTGTGTAGTCTGTGTTCTCTGACAGGCCCTCCAGTCGGATCCAGGTGTCCTCGGCATCCACAATCAGCTCCTGCAGAGAGCCAGAATAAAGGAGGTTGGAGGGAGCAGCCAACTTGCAATATGGGACAGTAGGGAAGCTGGGTCAGCAATGCTGTCCTTTCCATCCCACAGTAGGGAGGAAACTGCCAAGAGGCGGGGAGGGCAGCTCCCATGTGAGGTGTGGACCACCTCCTATCTCACAAATGCACACGGGATAAATTTAGGTAAAAGGATTATTGAACCAGTCGCTTCCAACTGCACTGGGCTTGTAGGGTAGAAGAAGCTGAGGAAGCAGAATCCTAGGCCTCCCTACCATTATCAAACAGACCCGCTTTATTTCCACTTGTCCTCTAGAATTGACTTCCGCACATGACTTTCACTTTTAAAAAAGATCCCACAGCAAGGGAAGATTCGCTCACTAGCACTCTGGAGGATTGTTTAGACTGATCACATAAAACCACAATTTATCATCTCTGTACGATAGGCTACATAGATGCTGCTTTTATAATGCTTATTGAGGCATAAAAGTCTCAGGTTTATTATCTGGCTCATGTTTGCTTGGCCTCGTGAGCTAGAAATCATTCTGATAGCACAGGATTAGGAACCCGTCATGTTTTGCATCATAAATGCCAGAAACATCACCACGCCTAGTGATCCTGCAAGGTAGATTTTCCAGAAAGGACACTGACAGGGAGGGACAGTTTGTGCTTTGCCTCTGTGTGGGTAGAGAACAATAGCAAAGCCACACTTGGATATTTACTGGCTTGTAAACCTGGTCTCTCTCTCCCTAATAGCAGGCTGTGTGTCTAGTTTTCTGGTTGCCTGTGAAGGCTTCCTTCTCCATCCCTGCAATTTCCCTGGTCAGTTTCCACATGGCCTCACATGGGAGAAATGGTTTTCCCCCTTTCCAGCTAATGCTAACCTTGCGGCTTCCATCCGTAGTTTTGTATGTCAAGACATAGTTTTCAATCGCTGCTCTGGGCGGCTGCCAGGAGATCAGTGCGCTTTGCCTGGTGACTTCACTGGCTGTCAGGTTGGAAGGAGGGTCCAGGACTGCAAAGAAGGAGAAAATGCTGGGGGGGGGAGGGGTTCCCTATCTCTCTAACTCTTTCTTGTTTGATTTCAGGCATGGTAATCTTGTTCACAGAGCTGCTCGTATGCTAACCGTAGTTCTTGCTAGGATGAGAGCATAAAAGGTGCTATTATCCTTTGAAGCTACCCCCTCCCAAAGCATGCTTGGGCATGGCATCTCCCAACACAACTCTTTATGCTTAGGACCCTGAACCCATGTGACCATTCCCTTGCTTGAATTTGAAGGAGTCCTGTATCTGTTCTAGTGTTCTTCTGGTCATGCTGTCACCCAGAAGCAACCCACTACCACACCCAGCTTTCCAATGTTGCTCAGCATTTCTTGTGCCAGGTACAGTTTTAGTGCCAGACTTCCTTGCCTGGCTCTGCTACTGTCACATAGATCCAGGGTGTAGAAACAGAAGTGCTCATTAGCAGACCTATACAGGGGCAACATCCAGCCAAAACCTATAGCTCACTATCTACTCCATTACAAGGAAGCATCATGTTTAGGTCTCACAGAATCCTTCAGGGACACCAGCCATGCAGGAGCCTGTACTCACGTGTGGAGAAGTTGGTGGCGATGGTGCCACTCATGAGAGGCCCGCTGGCAGCATACATGGTGACAGTATAGTGAGTGCTAGGAAGCAGGTCAACAAGCTGGAATTCTTCACTGACTCCATCAACCAGGATGGTCTCTCCAGCAACTGAAATCAGATGCACAGAGCTAAGGAAAGACCTACCACATCTAAAGGCATTCCACATAGATTCGGTACGCGAGAATTCTGGGAAAGCTACAGATGGTGGAGCTTATTACTCTACACAAGGATCCTCATTTATTATTTATTTGTTTCTTTGTTCAGTCATTTATTTACTCTTCAGAAAAAGTATTCTGTATATGAAGGTTGAATAGTGTCTCTGCTTGGGCCTCTGCAATCAAGGAGTAAGAATAGTCCTTGTTTACCTGGCTGTTTTCCTCTGCCCACTTTTCTCAAGTGCTCCCTCTTTTAGACTGAGAAAATTCAGGCCCTGCTTTTCATTACATTTATATGACAGTTCTAAAGTTTCCATAGTCCTGACTGCCCCTCTCAGGACCAAAAATTTTATCAGAGTCTCTGCTGAAATGCAAAACTTGGGAGAGAACTCAGAACAGGAAATGGTATTGTTGATCAATGCTATAAACAGGGTCAGTCCTTTTCAGTGTCTGTCATTTGTATTACTCCAGCCTTTAGGACAGTGTCATTGCCATTTCATGATGAATTTATTAATAATCAGTGACTTTATCACTGGTTATTTTGATCCACAGGCAGAGTTATTGCCTTTATTTCTATCATCTTTTGCCTCGGTTGAATTTTGGACCACAGTTTCAAATTTTTAAAATATTTTTTTAATGTGGATTCAATCAATCAGTTTTATTTTATATACAAATTTTGTAAACATGCCTTTTGGGGACTTATTCAAGCTGTTAATAAAACTGTTCATTAGATCAGAGCCAAGCCCTCTGTTAGACAATTAGAATATTTCTAAGCCATACAGTATTTAACAAAGTTTATTAAGCACATCTCAAAACTAGGTCAGACCTGACATTTCAAGTTTGTTGTGATCTAATGCAAATATAACAAGGCATATAAGGCTATTCAAACAATCTAAAACTCTTGGAAGAATGTACATAATGACCATGTTTTTGCTATCCTACCTACCTTGCGATATCCTGCCATCCATCACTGCTCTTCTGCACTAACCATGACAGGTTCTCAAATGCTCATTTTTCTCCAAATACAGAATGGCTACGCTTTTCCTTAGAACTTTCTTTTGTCGTTTTTACTTTTTCTGAGATCTTGCTCTTTTCTTCCCTTCATTACTCCAGTTCTAAATCATGATGGCCCTTTGGGTATACTCACAATACTCTGTCTTGCATATTTCATGCCACAGCTCATGTCAAGCTGTATTTCCTTCTCTGCATCATCACTAGAAGTGAGCTCCATAAAGATAAGAGCTCACGCTTTGCTTCTGGGTCTTTCTAGGCTTAGTGAGTACATGGCCCATGGGAGGTTATCAAGAGCATTTGCCGAAAGAACAGATGTGAATGGAGAGGATGGACCGTGTAACTTGTCACTGTGAGCAGGTGTGCCTGACTGCCTTAGGGGAACCAGGGATACTTTGTCAAAACTAACACCCAAAAGATAGATTTTCTAGGTTGACTCTTGGGGAGCGAATTTCCTGGTGGAGAAAATGGCACATGGGAAATGTATAGAGGCTCTGAAGGCTTAAAAAGCCCAAAAGACATTCTGGTTTAAGAAATGCTGAGTCATGGTACTCACAGAGAGGCAGTAGCAGTTGGATGGGCTCTGCAAGAACACAGAAGGCTGGGATGTATCCATAACATCCTTATTTGAGGAGGATTAGGCAGTCAGCTGTATACCTATCAATCCAAACGTGTGGTTTCTCGAGGCACTATTCAATCTTAACTAAAGATTTGATGATAGTCAGTTTTCTGATGCCTATCTGAAACCCAATGTGCTAATAGAGTTGCAAGTCCAAACCAAACCAAACCAAAATCAACAAGGAGGCTTTGTGAGCCTGCTGGCCCACAGCAATGACTAATGCCTTTTCCATTTTATTTGATAGCCTGTGTTACTTTCCATTTTCCCAAACTTTGACAATAAATTATTCTTTGCCGCTTGCGGAATTGGCTTTCTTTTCCATCTCTGAAAGTTAAGATGTCTGCCTGCCTTCTGTTCTCTGGTATCTTTGTTCCCTAGATTCCTGACTATAACCCACAAAAATTCTGTGTTCACATGTTTGGACACATAATTTCCCTAAGCCTAGATATTTGGAATAATCTTCTGTTTTGCTTTGAGCATGTATGTTCAACTTCAAATAGTGTAAGGTGAATGAGCATCATGAAAACAGCATTGATATTCAAATCTTTGTATTGATTCAAATTTTTGGGCTGGATGTGACCAGTAAAACAGAAACATTGCTCAGCAGTTCTGAATTTATGGTCATCTGCTATCTGCTCTAAGTTTAATCCTATAACTTTAGTATTTTTCTTGCTCTGTAAACATCTACAAAATTCTTCTTTCTTACCTGTAGTCCTTTGGTGAAAATCTTCACTCAATTCTGAGCTTTGTCTTTAGTATTAGTTCTAATTTTTTTATTTGTTCTTGGTTGCTCACTTTCCTTGAATGTTTCAGACTGAGCTTTTGTGAGTTTCATCATCAGTTGTTTACAGGAGTTGGGGCATATCTTTAGGTATTTATGGGGCTTAAAGGCCTACATAATTTCCCCAACCTAGGGTAAATTTTTGTTTGATTTTCCAATGGAAAAAATGAATCACTTCTTCAATTCCATCCTGACTTGCAGCTCCAGTTCCCACCACCCCGACCCGCAGATACTCACTTGCAAAGTGTGTGAGGACAATGACGTAGTTCTCCACTTCACCCATGGGTGCTTTCCACTGAAGCAGGGCTTCTGTGGGGGTGATGTTGGTAGCAATCAGATCCACGGGGCTATCCATGGCTAGAAAAGAACAGGAAAATACCAGGTTAAAGAAAGATGAACTACAGAATATAAGTAGCACAAACCATCAGAATTTTCCCATGTGGAGCACATCGGTCACTGTGCTGGATAAAACTATGGAATGGAGACAATTTTTTTTTTCCTGTCTGTCAGGCTCCACCAATCCCTTTCTTTATTCTAGTTTTCAAATATCCGCTTTCCTCCAATTGTCCTAAGCACTTCTTTTAAATTAATTCATTAACTTATTTTGTGTAGAATTCTTTGACCCGTTCAATGGGAAATGGAAAATTCAAAATACGGTTGTATTTTAGATATATCAATCTAAACCGTATGAAGAACCTATAGAAAAATCTTATGATTCTTTAGTTACTGAGATAATGTTGCTTTCTGGCCCACTGTTCTTTCACACGTGCAAGGGTGAGCTCTGCGGAAAGATCTCTGTCTGTGAACTTAAGGGAATGTGGTGGAAGTTCAGGGGCACCAGCACCGATGACCTGGTCACAGAATCAAATCCATTTCCTGAGTTCTCATTTCACCACTCACAAGCTTCACTCTGGACTGTGCTCAGAGCACCTTTTTTGTTGCATAGAGAGACAAGGAGATTTGTATAAGCTTAGGGAAGCTAAGATTGCCTGTCAGGGGAAGAAAGTTTGCTTGTGAATGGATTATGACTTTACTTACCCATGCTTGTAACCCTTGGACTTACATGCTTCCCTTTTATAAAGTTGGAAGTTATTTATGAACGGATGTTATTACAACAGTTTTAGTGTTAGCTCAACCTGAGTCACACAATTTATGTTTGGGAACCAAGATCCACTGTTGGTCTAACCCTGTTCTTTAATTAAATGAGCTGTATTTGGTGTTTTTGTTTTCTCTCTCTCCTCTTTTCGCTTATGTTCCTCATCCCAAAGTAACAACAACAATAATAAAACCCTTTACAATGTAATGTTTTGAATTTTATCTATAATCTGTGCTTTCAAAAACATCTTCAAATTCAGCTCTTACTATAGTTGGATAATTTCTGAGATGTATATGATCTCTTGAAAGAGTTTTTTGTTTCTACAAGTTTTAAGATCATTGTGACAACTTTAAAACAAACAAAGATACTTCTGAGCACAACCCAGTTGCTGAAAGTTATCAGAACCACTCTGGCTAACTCAAAGGAGAGCAGAGGGGCTTGGTATGTTACTGGGTTTCTGACTTTGGGTTGTCTGCCGCCTGTGGCCAAGAACCTCAGGAGTTAGCTTATGGACTGAGACACAGCATTCTTATCTTGGGAACAAGATGTTCTCAAATTCCATTTTATGATTTTTCAATGAGAAAATATGGCAGACTTTCAGGAGGGCAGGTAAGGGCTTTCTTAGCTCAATGGACACTACATTTATTAACTAGATGCTTTAACAATCACAGATAATTAGAGGATTAGGGCCCAACTGACAAAACATAGCTACTGCATCTACAATCACGGACCTGGAAAGAGGGAGACTAGGAGAGGTTAGAAATATCCTGTGCTGTCCTGAGAAAGGTGCTTCTGTATGTTTGGGAAAGATGTTTTTGCCACTGTGTAAAGAGATGCTGTTCTGGTGCCTGTAAAAGTATCTACAAAGTAGTGAGGAATTCTTAGGCACATTTCCCTCCTTCAGGAAACACCATCTCCAGGGAAATTAAGCAGCTTTGGGAAATCCAGGTGTTCTCTTAATGAGGCAGGCTGAATGTTTTCCTATGTGTGGAGAAAACTATGGTTTAATTTAGAAGGTCTGTTCTTGATGCTGAGGATAGAAACTGGTGGCTGTGCCTTCCAGTGACATCTATACCAAACTTTTGCTAATTCTACATGATACGCTTGCTTACAACCAGAGAGGGAAGGCTAGTGGAGCTGCTGAAAGCAAGTCTTGCCCTTGGCCTTATCCAAAGAGCTAGTTTTCTGAAGAAGGCATGGAAGGAGTATTTCTCTTTTCCACTTTCTAAATTTCAAGCTCGTCTTTCTTCCCTCCCTCCCTCCCTCCCTCTGGAGCTCCTTCTGTGATGGGCCTTGAGGACACAGAGGACATTTGGATTCACTTAGATATCCTATAGGAGAACAAGGACTACATATAGCATTCCTGCCAGCAGCTGAGGATGTCAACCTCACCTCCACTACCTTAATATAGGTGAAGGACTTAGAACCTTTTCCCTGGGGCAAAGGCAACACAGCTATGGGGTAGACATAGATGATGAATAATCTCATCCCCCAGTTTCTTATAACTGGAATAACAACTCTTCTGAGGTCCCCCTATCCCCCCGCCCCAAGTCTTAAAGACATCCTATGCTTCAAATGCTTGCTGTGGACCCTCTCTCCATCATGCTTCTTTGAAAGGGCACTCTTCATAGCAGACATTCCATGAAAATTCCTAGCCTGAACCAGCAAGACTCCTCCAGTGTGACTAACTAAACTCCTATTATTAGACAGAACAGTCTGTGGGGAGAGAAACCATAACTCGTCCTTCAGTGAGTCAGAGGAGCCAAGGAATGATGTCTCAGGTCCTGGAGCCAGTATGCGCTGTATGTGCTGGAATGATTTCAACCCGCTTCCTGTGTTCTTTGCTTCAAGCCTGCTGCTTGTGTCCTGACCTGCTACCCAAGAAGTGAGACATGTTTACCTGTGTGCACCAGGGTGCAGATGCGCTCACTCTCCTCCCTGCCCCGAACGCTGTTGAGGCTTATTTCATATTCAGTAGCTGGATACAGCCTGGTGATGGTGAACTCTGTCACAGTGTTGGGCACCACGGAGCTGTCCAGCCGCCCCACTGAGGAAGAACAAAGTCCATCATTAAAAGTTCAACAGCTCTCTCATCAGTCGGTCCGTGGCTCAGTATACATCGGGACAATGGGTCGTGAAGCACAGATGGATGGTGGCTCAGCATGCCATAGGGACGGGAAGGCGGATAAATGATTCATAAGATGGTAATGGTGGAGTCTGAATAAATCTTACAGGCTGCCCTCACTCTTTTATTTTATGGGCTCTTTTAGAACAAAAGCAAACAAACTATTAGGTAGGTTTCTGTCAGACTGCCATCCTCTGAGGTGACCATATCAAGGCAGTATAATGGGGAGAGCTGCAAAAAGTGCTCTAGACAGCCCAGAGAAAGGTAGCCTGGGAAGCTACCCTACCCCTGGCTGGAAGTGAGCATCCCCTCCACTTTGTGAACAATGCCTCATGCACCAGCAAAAACTGGCAGTATGCAGGCAGGGTCTCAGCCAACTCCTCTGACTCACACATTGGCTACAATGGCAGAATTGGGATCACATCACCGCCGTTTCCCCCAGGGCTCCATATGGCTCCACTGGGTCTTTATCTGTATCCTGGATTCTAGTTTTATACTTCATGCTCAGGACCGTATGTGGAGCCCTGGCTCTTGGCAAAGCCTTTTGGATTTCATCGTTTCTCACTGCATAGCTTAGCTAATGGTGTCCAGATAGGTCCACCCGTGAGGTGTTTGGCTTTCTTGGTAATGTAATCGAGCCTATTTTGGGAGGAGTTGGGGAGCTTGGGTTTCCCTGTTGTTCTTCACTGATACACTCTCATTTTGAGGGCATGTGCTACAGAGAGGGAACAATGTCCTGCAGTGGTCATAGTGCCCCCACAATAATCTCTACCCAGCTTCAAATCTCATTTCTTTTTGGGAAATGAAATCATATCATTACCTTGTGTGGGTCGGTATGATACTCGGTAGTAATCAAACGGTGCGACAGGAGGGCTCCAGGAAACCGTCAGCGAATCCTTAGTCACATTGCTAATTGTGATGTTTTTGGGGGGATCAATTCCTACAAAGATCAGGGAGTTGTGGGGGAAAGACGGAAGCACAGTTTGAAAATGGAATATCTATTCCTAGCTTTGTATTGGTCTGTTAGTGTCCCATAGGCATGGCCCTACATAAGTAACTGGGCATCGTTTGCATGATGGTCAGTGTGATGCCACACCAGTATCATTGTAGCTAGAGCCAAAGCCAGTTATGAACATTCTAACAGCAGGAAGCTAAATTGGCAAAATTTATACTTCTGTGCAGCAATTACTGCCTATCTCTCCCCACTAGAAACTTCCCTCTAAGTCCATTGTTTTTATTTCAAATAGAGAATTACATAGTTATCTTCTCTGAGGGAAACTTCTCTTAGAAAGACCCAACTCTGCTGCTCTTAGTTTTTAGCAGCCACTTTCGATTCAACTTGGGAAAACTGCCTATTAGCTGTAGAAAGATTTTAGAGCACAAATCTCAAACAAATATTCTTTCCTAGGTTGTATTTTGTTTGTGGTGCCTGCTTAAATCATGTGGCTGTATCAGCTGACTGTTTAACATACTTTTCCAGTTTGTCAGTATGTAGGGAAGTACCTAAACACAGGTGTACAAACATGTCATATTTGGGATTGGATTTGCAAATAATCCAATGGAAGTAGATTATTCATTCATCTTGGAGTGCTGTGGTCTCCAAACAAAGTGCAAATCAACTCCAATCTCTGGGGGCTAGGTCACCGCATGGTCCTATGCTAGCTCTGAGGAAGAACCACTTGTTAGGCAGTCAAGAGATGGCTCTCCAGAGTAGAAACATAATCTTTTCTTCCAGAAAGATTCCCTTGGAGACAAGCTTTTCCCAGGACTTCTTCCTAGACCGGTAGATTTAGGACTAATGCACTCAAGAGTTAAGCCCTCAGAGCACTGGGTCTCTCCTGCTTTTGAAATGGGAGTTTCTCATCTTCTGTCTCTTCCATAGCCCTGAAAGAAGTAGATGCCTCAGAAAAACTCACAGACGCCTATGTGCCATAGACACATAGAAACATTTATTGAATGTTTCCCCTTTAGATTGTATCGGCTTGTCAAAGGCTGAAGTGAGAACCCTCTTCACCAGCCTTTCCATCCTCACCTGTAGTGATGGAACCAACTATGGGCTCTGAGGTTACTGTTCCATGTACAGCTACAAGGTTCACTATATATTCTGTGGCTGGTTGTAGACCCATCAGGACAGCATGCCTCTTGGTGGCATCCAAGAGGACCTCCATCATCTCTTCCTCTTCATCCCTGGGGCTGTAATTCAGAATGAGTCTGTCTGCTGGGGGGGATGGGTCACTCCAGGTGATGTTGACACTGGAGGAGGTCACATGAGAGAAGTGCAAATGGGAGATAGGGCGGAAGCCTACAAAACAGAGAAGATTGGTTGCTCTGAAACATGTGTGGCAGCAGGCCATTAAGCAGAAGAGATTCTTGATTTCCTTCTATGCTAATGAAGACTACCCTTTCTTTTTTATTTATTTTTGTTTTTTTATAATTTATTCACATTTTATCCCAATTATAACCCCTTCCCTTGTCTCCTTCCAGTCCCACCTCCCCTCATTCTTTCCCCCATTCCCTCACCTACAGCTCAGAAGAGGGGAGTCCTCCTCCCCTACCAACTGACCCCTGCCTATCAAGTCTCATTAGGACTGCCTGCATCCTCTTCCTCTGTTGCCTGGCTAGGCCTCCCTGCCAGGAGGAAGTAATCAAAGAGCAGGCATTAGAGTCCATGTCAGAGACATCCCCTGTTCCCCTAACTAGGGGGCCCATATGAAGACTGAGCTTCCTATGAGCACATCTTAAGCAGGGGGCCTAGGTTGTCTCCTTGCATGGTCTTTGGTTGGAGTATCAGTCTCTGCAGGCCCCCTGGGCCCAGATTTGTTGGCTTTGTTGGTTTCCTTTTGGAGTTCCTGTCTCCTCCAGGTCCTTATATTCCCCCTGCCCCCACCTCTTCCATATGACTCCCTGTGCTCTGCCCAAAGTTTGGCTGTGAGTCTTAGCATCTGTTTTGATCCCTGCTGGGTAGAGTCTTTCAGAGGACATATATAGCAGGTTCCTGTCCTGTTCCCTCTCTTCAGTTGTTTCCAGTGTCTATTCCATTTGCCTTTCTGAATGAGAATTAAGCATCCACTCTAGGGTCCTCCTCGTTATTTATCTTCTTTAGGTCTGTGGGTTGTAGTATGGTTTTCTCGCATCATATGGCTAATATCCACTTATAAGTGAGTATATACCATGTGTGTCTTTCTGGTTTTGGGTTACCTCAATCCGAATGATCTTTTCTAGTTCCATCGAGGGCTATACCTATACCTGCTGGCTCAGAGGTCCAACCTCCTCACATTCTTGTCTACTCTTTCCAAGCCATATGGTGGACAGTCAAGAAAAATAAAACTAGACATATCTCTGAAATATTCATTAAACTGATCTAAGATTTTAAAACTTCTAACTTGGGAAAAATGTGGCACAGAGCTTTAGCATTCTCACTGATTTATTGCAGGAAGGGCAAACAGACAAAGCAACTCCTGTGTCTAGATTGTAAAAATCAAACATAAAATTTCAGATCCTTGCTCCCTCCCTCCCATTACTTCCAAACATTTTCTTTTCATGCATATATTAGTTTTTCCTCTTTTCCCCTACACTTCTCCTATAATTTTCTCTTTTGGAAGACTGGGGCATCTGAATGACCTTCTCACATTAAGCTCTATTTATTCCTGGCCCTCACTGAGATGTCTGTTCCCCTGCTACCTGTGAAGGCATCCACAGTGGACTCCAGGCTCTGTTGCCGACCCCTCTCTGCTGTGATGGAGATGATGTATTCTGCTCCAGGCTCTAGATCTGTCAGTGTATATGAAGTCCTGTCCCTAGGCACAGTGACTTCTGAGGAGATCCCAGAAGATGGCGTAAAAGTAATTCGGTAGTGATCAATGGGACCACTGGCCTTGGTCCAGATGAGAGAGATAGAGGTCTCTGAGGAGGCTGTCACCATGAGGTCTCGAGGATTGTCAAGTTCTGTGGATTACAATAAGTTGCATTCATTCATTCATTCATTCATTCATTCATTCATTCATTCATTCATTGTCTTAGAGTAAACAGGTCTTGAACTCAGTATGTATCAGAGGATGATCTTGAACGTCTGATTCTCTTGCCTCTACCTCCCAAGTGTGAGATTATAAGCATGTACCACTTCACTTGGCAACTGGCCCTCACTTGGCAATTTCACACTGGCTGCTTAGGACAGTCATTAGTTATTGGCCTACGTTGTGTGTCTCTAGGCTGTCAGTATGACATGAGCCCTGTTGACCATGAGCCCTAGCTTGTCATGGCTGATATTCTTCTTGAATTTTGTTGAGCAGCTTCCTTTTGAAAGAAGGCCAGTGATATGGTAAACAGATGGACAATCTGCAGAAGGGCATTATTAGCAGTGACAGCACTGGGATGCATCCACAACTGGAATACATCTAGCTGCGGATATCCTTATTTTCACTCATCCTCCTTCCCTGTTTGGGAAGCCAAACAGGAGCTAGTACCATGCTGGATAAGGCATTCATGGGAACTAAGGTTCCCATCTTCCCTCCATGACTTGGGTGCTATTTTGGCTCGTCCTAACTACAGGCATACAGATCTGTGGCAAATAGGGTGGGGTTTCGGGTGTCAGGTCAGGCATAGGGTAGATGCTGTCACTAGGCAATCGTTATCAACAGGGTCTTGTTCACTGGGAGGGTTGCCCCATGGGGATCCTGACCGAACAAGCTCTCACACATCCTCAGTCTGACATGCCCAGAGCCTAGCCCTCTTCTTCACCATTCTCCTACTTACCAGTCCTGGCATTCATGGTAGCGGGAATGCTTTGTTTCGAGTTCATGACTGCAGAAATTCCGACTCCGTATTCTGTGCCTGGCACCAGATCTGTATGTAGATGCAGAGACAAACATTATTCTGTGTGTGCAGAAAGAAGAGAAGAAAATGATCATAGATTCCTGTTCAGATTTTGTTTAGTCCAGCTTCAATTAGTTCCTCATTTTATCTATTAAGAAAGCCCAATTTTCCTACTTGGAAAATTCCTATGAAGTCAGTAGGATGACCTGGTCAATGTCACATGGTTTCTTGTTATGGGTCTCAGAAAGGTGGTGAGGCCACCCCTCTCAGTGTCCTTTGGAAGAGTAGTCACGTCTAGAGCATTTGCCCGTGTATATGTATTGGCTAAAACAGTGAAGTGGTTTCTTGCTTAAACTGTGAGGTGTGAAGAGGTTAGGGGCAGGGTAGACATAAGCCTGAAAGAGTTTCTTGACCGTGTGTATGAAGGCTCTATTACATTTTCCAAATAGGTCCTGAGCCCATATGAGGATTTTTGGGTCACTTCTAGAAGGCCGCACTGCTTAGACTATTCCTTTGAACACGGGACTGTCAGGCTTTTAACAGATTTGTGTAGAACCCCAGTAATTGCTAACTCTCCCCAGCAAGACAGTAATTCAGTCCAGTATTTAAACTATGGATCAAATTACAGTAGTGTCTGGCAGAGTCTGAGAGTTTGGAGGAAATTCAAATTTAAAGGGTATAAGCCTCACAGGAAATCCCTTGGGGGTTCATTACGGAGGCTCACTGACAGGTTCCTAGAACATCTAGAATTCTCTGGAGTCTTTCTCTCCACTGTTCCACATTCATTTTCAGATCAGCTGGCTTGATTGATGTAATAGTTCCCTATTGCTGCTGTGACAAATTACCACGATTTAGTAGCTCACAACAATACAAATTAATGATCCTCTAACTCAGGACGTCAGGAATCTAAAGGGACTCGGCAGGATTGCATTCCTTCTGATGGTCTCATGGGAGGATCTATTTCTTTTCTTTTTCAGCTTCTAGAGGCTACACACATTTCTTGCCTCTTGCTTCTTAATTTACCCTTAAAGACTGAAGCTTAACATTATCAAACCCTTTTCTCTCTCTTTGATCTCGCATTCCATTGTCATATTCACTTTGACTTCCCCTTCTAGCATCCAACTAAAGGGACTGGATAGGGCAGAAACATTTCCCCATCTCAATATCTTTAATCATGTGAGCAGTCTTTTTTTTTTTTTTTTAAACACAGAAGTTGACATAGTCACAGATGCTAGGAATTAGAATGTGGATATCTTTGAGAACCATTATCCTTCTATAACTGGCTTCAAACTACCCTCATTTATTAAGACTTAGATGACAGAAAAATGCAGTCATCTAATTGCCACCCCTGGGGGCCTCAAATGTTCAGGCCAAGTTCTTCCAGGGGGCTTATTGTGATGCCTGCCTGAGCTCCTGAGAACTGTGGGTTGTCGCTCTGTGCAACATTGGAGCTTCATCACAACCCCATGAAGGTGGATGGGCAGTCTGCTATCCATCCTTATTCGGTACCTGTGGCTGCTGTCATAAACTACTACAAACTGCTGGTTTAACACAACAGGATCATATTCTCTCACAGTCCAGATGTCAGAGAATGAGGTATTGGCAGGGCCAGACTCCCTCCAAAGGCTTTAGGGATCCTGCCTTGCCCCTGGGCTTTTGGTTGCAATGCTTATTTTTTTCCCTGGCTTGCAACAGCACTGCTACAATCTCTGCCTGTTCTGTCTTGTGACATTCCTTCTTTCTCACTGTTTCCTCATCTTAAAGACACCAGTCACACTGGATTAGTTTTAAACTGATGACATAACTACAGACCCTTTCCCCCAAAAGTCTCCTTTCTGTAGGTTCTGGGTGGACATGGATTTTTAGAACAACACCATTCAATGTGTATTAACAAAACAAAACAAAAAAACAAAACAAAATAAAAAACCTGAGAAATGGAGACAATGGGAATGAATCTGTGACCAGTTTGAGAAGATTCCCAGATTTCTAACCTCAGAGTTCAAGGCCTGGGCAGTTTCTCCTGCCCTAGCTGCCTCTGGTCCTCTGGGCTGTTGTGGCTTCCCAAGGGTAACACAAATGATTTTTATAGGGAACACATTGAGTAGCCTCTCATTAACCAATGGCTTGTTTTAACAAAGGGGAATGCTGTATGGAAATCAGAAGGTTCCAGCCTCTTCCTAGCTTTCGTTCACTCCACACTCTGTGATTACAGCAGAATCTACCTGGCCTTATCCATCAGTCTCCCTTGAAGGAATACAGTTGAGCCCTCTCTGGGCATCATTAGAATTAGGCCTCATTTTTCCATCTCAAGCCTGCTTGTCCCTTACCTAACCCTTAATTGGTTTTCTCCTGAGTCTTGGCAACCTAAGCAAAGCTAAAGTTTGAGGTATAACAGGCTTTGGAGTCTGCTGTACATTTTATATTCAGGCCTGGACACCTTCCACACCTACAACTTTGATTGCTTAACATCTTTAGGTCTCAGATCCTGAAGATTGAGAATAATAGGTTTCAATGTCAGAGGGTCATTGCAAGGATCCAGTGATTTTTTCTGTGTACAGGTCCTTGACCAAAATAATTGTCATTAATATTATCAGTACCCAGCACAGAGAACTATATTAGGATTTTTAAAAGTTCTTTCATGTAGGTGGCCCTATCATCAAAAAGTGCCTGGGCAGGCACATGTTGGTTTTAGGTATACTTTTCATTGATCTGATGAACATTGGCCCCTGATTCTTATGCAAACGAATGATTCATGGAGCCAGGGAGCTAGTGACCAGTTTTCTCTGGCTGGTCTCAGTACCTGTCTCTAGACTGAGTGGATGATTTCAGTGCATACAGACCTGTTTAAAACACACATTCATTACCATCAATATATTCTACTATGTCCAGAACATCCCTGGTTGGAGAAATCAGGTGATGTTTGGGGCACAAACCAATTTTCTCAGGCAGCTGACTACTTGCCTATAAAGAAGTAGAAAATTTCCAGCATAGGCGAAGGGTGACAGATCAAGGGAGTAAGACAGAAACTCCATGTTGCCAAGTAGATCTAGTAGGTAGTGTTTCCATCCAAGTTCTTATTTATGAAGCTTAAATTAAATGTTCAATAATTTACAACAGAATGGCCTTCTCACAGAAAACAGCAGAATTTGAGGCGCTTCCCAGGCTTTCTGTCTAGGGGACAGGGACTTGGGACTCTCTTGCAGGACTGTGCCTGTTGCTCCCTTTGATTTTCAACAGCTTTCTTCCTGCGCTACAAGTGAATTGTTGCTCATTGCCAGCAGGTAAAGAGCAGTTCCAGGGAAAAAGAAAATGTGTTTCTGAGGCATATTTGGTGCACTTGTCTCTCTCGACACACAGAGCATTCGGAAGGATTTTTCACTTTAAAGACCCCATTGCTTTCCATCAACATTCCCTTTGTTTTTACAACCAACCCTTGCAGGTGGGGGCAAATAAATGGCTCTGTTCCCTTTCTTAACAAAAGCTCAGAAAATTTATCCACAGGACATTACAATTCTCCACCCCTTACAGAGTGTACTTTGTTCAGCTTGAGGGCTGACACTTCCCTAAACTCTTTCACTGCACACCCATTCTTCTCTGAATCCCTAATGCACATAGCTCATCCAAGTATTACCGAGGGTCCCCTTTGAGTGAGGCAGAAGGTTGTGGGCTGTGGATATGAAGCGAATTGATAAGGTATCACCTTGTCCTTTTGAGGATCAAAAAAAAGCATCTGTCCTGAACAAGTAAATTAATTACTTATTGAGTACTTGTGCTATACCAAACACTGAGTTGCAAGTAATAGGTGATCTAGAAGAACTATAAAAAAGAAAGAAGAAAGACAAGGTTGAAACAAGGATTTTGAGTGTCTGATGGTGAAGAGGACAGTTCTAACTCTACCTTTTATACAAACTCAGTCATGACCTTAATAATTCCCATGCACCTTGGTGCATGAACAAATATGGGCCCTGAGAAATCTACCCATTGAACACAAAGCTGGTTTAGAATCCGATTCTTGTGCTTTCCGTTATCTGTCCCTAAGAGTCATACAACTTGGCTTTGGGGACTGGTGTGAACACACTGGAACCTGAGTCGTTTATGACAATACCGTGTGCCGTTAACTAAGAGTGGCTTCAGAGGATGGACTCAGCTTGGCTGCCATCGCCAGAGAAGAGACTCAGGCTGCGCCTTGAAATCCAGCTAAGATGAAGAAAGATAGTGGAAAAGAAAAGTCAAGTCTTCCTGTGGTCGGAACCAGGCTGGAGGGCAAGGACTGCTGTGATGATGGCAGAATAACTCGCTTGCTCCTGCTGAGTAAACCTATGCTCGTAGCTACTAGTGAGGAACAATGGGTATGGTGGAGGAGGCCTGAGGAGCTGTCTCTTGCCAGCAAAAACATAAACAAGTATCTGGTGTCTGTAGGCTTGATTGGCTTCAGGTGAGCATGAGTTACAGTAGACTCTTTCCACCTCAAAAATCCCTGGGTCTATCTCCCACAAGCCCATGAAGCTCATGGTCACCAAACAGGACCAAGGGGTTAGTTAGTCTTTGTTCACTGGTTGCTTTCATAGAGAGGAACAAATTAAAACCCCTTCCCTTAAGGAGCTTCAAGTCATTTTCTTAATTTTTTTATAGCATGTGTGAAATCATAGCTGGTAAAACTACCTATGAAAAAACAAGACCGCATGTCACATTCCAGCACAGTGGTGTTCCTCGGTGGTGGAACTCTGAGGCAGAGATGTCACAGGTAGAGAGGGGTCTGGAGGCAGAGGACCTTCTAGATGTCCTGAAATCACACCTCTTGGGCAATGTTCTCCTTCTTAGCTAGATGGAGAGCCAAGCTCCCTGGCTTGGCTAAGAAGGGGTTTCTTCAGGGGGTTCAGGGTTTCTTGAGTGAGTCATAGGACATGACCCTGCCTCAGGGGATATGGATGAGCTGAAAACCCCGCAAGAGGCAGTCAAGTTGAGCTAGATTTCGGAATCTGTATTTAAAAAGAAAGTAACTTTAAGTAGCATCTCATCAGATAGAACTT